ACCAAGCCTCCAACCAAATTTATTGTGGCAGAGGTGATGATGCTATCCATGTGCCCATCAAGAGGTTAAATTAAGTGGAGAGGGGTTCGAATCCGAGACTACTTGTTTGAAGATGAGATAGAACACTAGGTAACAAATGCAATTTAGTGGTTTGCAGCAATCAAGTAAGCAACTATTGCCTGCTAGTATTCATGAATTACGTTAAATTAGTTGTTTTGTCAAGAACAACAACAATAACTACAAAAATCCTAACATGACACTTACGCAGTGATTTGTTGGGCAGGTACATTCTCAACTATAGCTTCTGTAATTGTCTTCACATTGTCTGAAACTTGTGGTCTTAATAGAAGAAACAAAAAGCATGCAAGCAGGTAATATGGGTAGTGGATGCAGAGAGTCATTCCCTCTTGTGTTTGATATATGAAATAAGGTAAAGTGAAGTATTAGACCAGGTTTATACAAAATAGTGTATCACATTTTTCAATCTCTCTGATGTTTAACCATGTATTATGATAGTTGAAAGAGGACAGATTTATCACTAAGCCCAAGCAGCATGGAACACCGACTTCAATCTACTACAGAGGGTAGGAAATCGTGAAGTAGCAAGGAATACAAAAACTATGGGTTACGTCATCTTTCATTTATGAAGAAAACAAATCACTTATCTAAACCGGAAAAGCGTATTAACCACGCACTAAGTAGTGCTCATCAATAAACAGATCTTAACAGTTGGATCTCAGATGGCTGAAGATGATTAGCAAGAAGTTCCGCCTGAACATGGTTTGTTTCGTTCTCATCGGCACTCATCAGTAAGGCGTGCTTTCAACCTTGGAGGAAATGATACCCCCCGCTTGAAGATTCAATCCCACGACGTTACCACTAAGCTGTACGGATTAATGATGGAGGACACTGTGACTGAGATCACTGGAGAGTAACTAGAACAGTCATGTGTCCAGTTCTCGGTGTTGATGCTGATTAATTCATATCAACAGGAAACCTAGATGCAGAGTTTCCTGCAAAGAGTCATCTAGCTTGTTGATGAGAATCCAACCAGCACCATCACCAAGGATTAGACAGATGACACATCAGTTACGCTTTGATGTTAAGTGAAGTGTAACATTAAAAGTGATTTATATTCAATCTTTACAAATATTGTAGTATATCAAAGAATAATCAATATGACTTTTACACTTGTCAAAGAAAACGTTATGAGGCTTACAAATGACAGACTCCAAAAATAAACACACATATCACTTTATGAGTAAAATTCAAAGTAGGCTCACTCACATGTTCACTAACTCTGCAGCCTCAGGCATAGTCTGACACTCTGTGACAACCGGCATTTGAACTTCTTCGATAGTTTCTAGATTGGCTTGACTTGTGAACCTTGAAAACGAAAGTGACTTGTAAATACGCAGTCTAATGCTGAATATGTGCGTCGATGGCACAGCGGTTAGTACGCTCGTCGACCACGATGCGTATGGTCCGGGGTTCGGTCCCCGGCCACTGACGCACTCCCTTACCTCGCTAAGCCAGTAATAAAGCTGGTAAAGAGGGAAGGTTGGGCATGAGGCTAGCAACCCCATCCTCTAAAAGTAATTACAGAAGCTTCAAGTCTCCAGCTTGAAGCCCTATGTTCCACTGGGAACGCGAAGGGATAAAATAAAATGGCAAATATACACAATCACATTTGAAAATATTAATCTAACATTCAGATTTCTTCAAACGACAAACTTCAGAATTGAAATGATGAAATTATCATCTTGCACACACACACACACGCACAATAGAGAAACACTTAATATGACCCTACTCATATGGTTAGTGAGACCGATACTTCATAAACGTATTTATCTACAGGGTTAAACTCAAGTACTCTGCATAAATTCACCTTTCCATTACTGCCTATATGGTTAGTATTACCAGAATACAAGCTATACTATGTATTCATAAGCTTGTTTTCTGGTCAGTACTCCTTTCTATACCTTGGTCATAGTAACGTTCTTTCTAATTGACTTGATACCGTTTCACTCTGTATTTCCGCCTCCACATCATCGTAATCATTGTTGTCATTCCAATGTGTCATACCACCTGACCCGCTTGAAACCACCTCCCATAATCCCAGTTCACTTTTTTAATAACTTATTTATATAATTCTCGTGACTCATAACCTCCCGAAGGCTACTCGTTCAAAATATCATGGTAAAAAGAATATATATATCTGCATTTTATCTGCAGCGAGATTTATTTATTCCTTTGTGTCTCACTCAGGTCTGAGCTTCAAGGTCTCAGTAACTATGCAGTTTTCTTCATGCGGTGGAGCTGCTCGTCTCACGCTCAGCTTTCCCTCTTCACTGAGCTTACTACCGGTTAGGTGAGGTTACGGTGCCCGTCGGTGGCCGAGTACTGACCGCGAGTATTCTGCAATTCGATGAGTGACACACCAATCAATTGCAAGTGAAACAGACTTATATTGATGCACACAATGATAATGAATTAAAATGTTTTCGTCAAGAACACAACAACGCTTACTGGAACATTACCACTAGAAACCAAAGAGACAGCTAGACAGAAGTGTCGTCCTGCTTTAAGAGATGCTTCATTGGTTCGAGACCACATACTCACAGTGTTTGTCTAATAGAGGAAACCGTGAGATTACAATTAGGCAATCATGTGTCTCTTTGGGTCACTTGATTTGAATCCGATAATAGCAATTAAGAATTTTAATTTTCGTTCATTTATCAAATAGGAATCATCAAGTGGTTCGGCTCTATACCAGTCACTAATTCAAATTATAAATTATAAAAAATTTCCATCTGAAAGATTGTCACTATATATGCAGTATGTAATTGATGAGTGTATCGAGGACTAGGATGAAACGCCTGTTCAACGCTCCTTATTTTCTTTGAATTCTTATCCTTTATCGATGTGATCAACCTGTGAGACTAGACAAATTCTCACTAGTTCAACAATTAAGACCAGATTGAATTACTTGTCAGCAAGATGAGTGGCGGAATACGTCCATGATTTCAATAAATAAAACCAATCAAAAATACCAACCTCTCAGACTCATCCAAATGACGTGACCGCTTCACTGTAGAACATTCAGCCACACCAGTTTCACTAGTTTCTAATAATAAGTGTTTTCTTGTAGAAGTAGTCACAGGAAAATCCTCTCCATAGCTTGTACTTTGATTGTGTTGAGACAATTCAGTGAGGTTAGCGAAATCCAGTGGGATTAGATCATCATCAGGAGGTTTATATGGTATCTATTAGTAAAACACAATGTGTTGAAAGCAGTTTTAATTAGTCACTCGTTTACTACTCATGCGATTGAGTAATATCCATATTCATGCACGACAAATAATCACCCTACTTATTTTCGCGTGACTGAGAGGAATAAAATAGGTTAAACAGATGATAAACGCTGTGTTCAAGATAGACTGAAGATAGTGGACAGAAATGATCATCCTTAAGTTAACATTGATTTCCAATTTCAACACAAAACGTAAATTACTTAAATATTCCCGTAACGATAATCATAGAACACGATTTAAGCAAATACGAATTTTCGGTAAATGCTCCTCATCCTTTACGCTTACGTAATGAAATGGTAGTTCATAGGGATTTGAATCAATGTGGTTAACGAAGTATAGGAGCGGAGTTCACGGATGTGAATTAATCGGTTCTAATTGAGGTGATCACAATAATAATAATAATTAACAAAGATAAATTCGTTCAGGTGACGCAATTCCGTTGAATGAGAAGCAACAAATGAACTGCTGGCATAGGAAATTTGAAAAAAAGATAGTAGATAAAACATCCTTTGCCACAACATTGTGTTTACAAATTCCCCACTCGTTGTATAATTCCCAAGCATGTGAAGGATAAGCTACCAAATCTGATCACTTCAATGTGCATTCACAAATTCAACTGTTCATGTGGAAACATTTACATAGGTAGAACGACTCCACAAGCCCATCGTCCCATGCTGGAGAACTGTCCAACGTGGTTAGGCTGAGGAGTCGTTAATTAGATAATTAGAAGTTCCACACTGGTACACCCAGTGGATACGCAGCACAAGATTGAAGAAATATTCAGCTTTAACAATACTATATGAGGTGCCACCGTAACTCTAGGTTGGTACGTCTTCCACTACTAAGCACAGCGAAGGCAGTTGTCAAAAAGACTTTTCCATTCAATTTCCGTGTTCCGAAAAATGTTTAATCAGTCTGTCTCCCTGCCTCCCTTGGCCTTCGTCCCCAAAACTAAAATAGGTGTCTATCCCGGTGACAATGGATTTATCTTTTATCTGTAATGCTGACTAAATTATCAATATCATGCTGTGTGCTGTAGTTGTGCATGTTGCGCAATCTCAGGTTTTAAAAACTCATTATTGTTACTGTTATCATAATACCTAATGGCTATGTGGCGACAGTTATTTTCTCCTCCATCTTCAATAGTATACATATTCTACATGTACACTCCCCACCCCATCACGTTGATTATGTAACCAATTGAATGAATTTATTCTTGTCATTATTACTATTATGACCACATCGATTATTACTCATTAATTCACATCCCTGAACTCCTATTCTATACTTCATTAACCAAATTAATTCAAATGTCTATGACTACATATTTCATTCATTATGTAAACGTAAAAGCTGAGGAGAAAATCCGCATTTGCTTAAATCGTGTTCTGTAATTACCGTTACGGGAATATTTAAATTATTTACGTATTAGGTCAAATTGTGCATCCTTATTGGAGGCGTCTCACAGTTCAGGCTTTCGTATACATATATATATGTATGAGTTAACACTAACGGTAAGACGTACTTGGGATAGTTGCTTAGTTAACAATTATTCATACAATTGAACTGGCTCTAGAAACGTAAGCAGAGGCTACAGTGTCCGGAATGCCTAGATCCACTCTCCGAAAATCAAAAGTAAACATGATAAGTAACGTTTCTATACTTGTAAAACAGGCAACTTACAGTATTTTGAGGATCCTCAAACATCGTGATATCTTCCTTTCGTGCCTGATAAAGTGTTTGCGTATCCATAAACTCCAAATTAGGCTCGATATCAGGCCAGATTAATTCAGGAAGCTGCAAGTTTCCGAATTCATTGATGTCTTCGTTATTATTCCACACAGGTAATTCAGTAGCCTCCGTCGCCGAGGTACGTCTTCGCTTAGCATGCGACTGGCGTCTGTTACTTTAAGAAAACAACTTTAATGTGAATAAAGGCTAAGAGGAAAAATGATACAAACAAAGAAACACAAATAAAACGAACAGAAAGGAACATCGACATGTAAGTTTTACCACGTCGGTAGATCAATGGACCGGACTGTTAATACGCAAGCCCGTTGATTCAGTTCCTGCAGATCGCCTAATATGTGAGAGAAATTTAAGAGATAACTTAATATCGTGGAAATAACAACGTTACTAAATAATTGTGAATTACACAGTCAACTTACGCAGCATAAAGACAACTTTTTCTCTATAGATGACACATATTCCGAACGTCAACTGCGACGCTAAGTACAACGACAGCCTTATTCTCGTCTTTCCCAAAATATGGCCTGTTATCTCGTTGCTAAGAGCAGTAAGAAATATGTTCGCAATACCATGCATTAACAATATTAACTGAATTCAGCTCTCTTCTCGTAAGCTGTTTTCTTACTCTGGTCGCTGCCAACCTAAAAGTTAGTGTTACGAATTCGAATGAACTCAACCATATAATGCCAAATCTTCCACGATGAGCAGACAATAGATCGACACTATAAAACATAATAAGCGTTGATCCAAAGCGTACAAATAGCTACAATATTTGAAAAATCGCTTTGTGTGACTATTTACTAATTGATTCGAAGAAACAAATGGTACAACGTACACACCTGCGTGGAGATACCAGAAATACTCTTGACTAATATTATTATTTTATCATTGATTTCTGAATATGTAGCAGCTTACTCAATATATTTGTGACTAGTTCGTATAAACCAACAAATTTTGTGGCTATCCAATATCCAATATCGTTTTAAGTAACTAGTATAAACCATTTTGATTTCTTTATGCTCGCTTCCTGATTGTGAGGTAAAGGCTCGCGGTCCTCGATAATCTTCTACATAGTTCGTCCCGCCACTTGACTGTCGTAGCTTTGGTTGTATCCAAAATAACAGATGTAATTAGTGTAGGTTATTCAGAGTAAAAGACAGAAAAAGAAATATAGAAAACGTAAAAACAGAATCCTAGTTAAATTTGAGGTTGACATATATAAATAAATATATACATAATATCAACGAAAATAATAAGCGTAAGTGTAGAAGTTGAGGCAGTCAGGAGAGAATGTAAAGAAGTAAACGATAAGTTTAGATGTCTACCCATGAACGGTGTATGGGATTTTAAGGGGATAGGCAATTTGGGCGCAGTCCTTGTGTCGCTGTATGATTGTCCAGCCTTCATTTAAACCTGTCCATTTACGGTGCCACAGCTACATCCGCCAGTAGAGTTCCAGGGACGGCAGACCAGGAGTGAAAAGAAGTGGGGACGCACTCGAGTTCTTGCCCTCCGGTGAGCTATCCTTCGGGGATTTTCACGAGGAAGTTCACATCTACTCAATGGCAGAACACCTTTGTTTAGGTGATTCTGGTCATTTGTTATCTTTTAGACAGTAATCAAATCCCCTCTAAGCCGACGGTAGCTAATTGTGAATAGGCCTAATTTCTTTAGCCTTCCATTATACCGTTCATTCCGGAGACCCACCATTCCTTTTGTCGCCCATCTTTGGGCTCTTTCCAAGAGGTATGCGTCGCTTCGTAGCAGTGGAGATACAATGATATTGTACACTTGAAGGTGTGGTCTGACTTTCGTTTTGTTCAACTTTAGAAAGAGTTCGATAGTGAGTGCGCCTAATTGTTTATTTGTGAAGTGTATGATCGCGTATGCCCTCGCTACGTCCCCCGTGTAATTTACGCTTGTGTCCATTTTTCCGTTAGAACTGGACCTAAGTCACACTCCAACGTTCTACAGGGAAAGCTTTCATTGCGCAGGGTGTAACTTACATTATGCAGTCTACAGGTGCGTAACTTCACTACTTTGCACTTTTTCAGGTTGAAAGTCATGCCACTGGTCGCCGACCAGTCTTCCAGAAGCTTTAGATTTTGCTGCAGCCCATCTGGGTCCTCCGGACACTTCACGTTGTCAGCGTATAGAAGAGTCAGGCAGCTTAGACGGCATGGTAGGTCACTGATAAAAACCAAAAACATCAGTGGTCCTAGGATAAAGCCCTGTGACACTCCTGATGACGAGCTGTGCCAAGATAACCAGACTCGATTGACCTTAGTGCAAAATTGGCTTTCAGCTAGGTAGTCCTTTAACCATGACAGAAATGGCTCACCTACAACTACCTGACTTAGTTTGTATAGAAGAAGGTCATGATAAACTGTGTCAAATACCTTCTCAAAGTCTAGGAAGACGACATGGACTGGAACATTCATATCCCGGCACGATGTTCAATCGTTTCAAGCTGATAGTAAGTTTGTTACACAAGATCTGCCATTCCTGAAACCATTTAGACCTTACGGAGCCTGTTAGTCTTATCGAGGTTCTCCCTGATGTGATAATCAATTGTACTTCACAGTACTTTCGGCACCACTGGGAGTACGGTTAATGGTCTATAACTAGTGGCATTTTGTCTATCCCCACCCTCGAAGATCAGAGAAAGGATGGTTTCTTTACACTCCCTTGGCAGTTTCCTCGAATCCGTCGAGTGTTGGAATAAGCGCCTATGGAGGGCTTCAGCGGACTGTTTCGGAACAGATGGTCCGATGTCGTCACAACCTGTGGACTTTCCAGATGCGAGTCTCTGTAGCTTCCCTAGTACTATTGCCGGGTTTATTTGGGGAGTAGCCACCAGGTTTTCCCCTAGTGATTCAGCAGTGCCATCATTTGTGCCCGTAACGGTAATACCCACATTTCTGTTTAGCTGATCGGTGAAGGCTTGGTTGGTTTGTTTTCTTTCCGACATGAATCGGTACAAGATTTTGGGGTTTGCTAGGAGCTTTTAAGCAAGGTTAGCCTGGAATGACATCCTGTCCCTCCTGACTCTCGCGTCGGACCGGTTCCTGAGTTCCAGGCATGCGTCGTGGTCGGTCTGACTCTTAGATACGTAAACGAAGCCTTCCGCTTTTCTTGCAGAATACGTTGCGTGCCTCTCTTCAGCCATGATGACATTTTGTTCATCTGTGTTGTGACTAGAGTGACGGTACTTGAGATTGCTGTGTGAATAATCTCTTTTACTACTCTCAAGTGTTCATCCACAGATAGCCCCATGCTAGGGGCCACTCTGCGTCGGACAAGAGCCTCCGCATATCAGTGCAGTCAGCCTTGCTATAACACAGACATAGTCACGTAGCATCCCACTGAAAATGCTCATGGAGAACGAGATCGAAACCTATGACTGCATGGTCACTACATACTAGAGGAGTCATGATCTGGACCTTTTTGATGAGTAGTTGGTCACTAGTTAGAATTTAGTCTAGTTTTGATGACTTTCCACTAGGGCCCCACCTAGTATCATCTGCAACATTCTCAGTCAGTCCCGTATTTCGAATAATTTGCAGTAGATTTCGGCCGAATTTTCCCTTAGCATACCCCGAGCCAAGGTTCAGTGATGGGTCATTGAAATCTTCAGTTATGGTGATTTGATCATAGCCTGAGTCCCGTATCCCTGTGATGGTTCTGAGCAGTAGCTGATTGCGCTCTGCCCCACAGGTGGGAGATTGGTAGATGCCACCCAGTAAATGCTTGGTGTGAACCACGGTGAAGTGAAACCATATAGATTCTGAGAGTTCAATAAGTGGTAAGTCCATTGCACATACACATTTAAGTTGCTTGTCAAAGTATATTGTGACTCCCCTCTTCCTTGTTATTCCTGTCTCTCCTGACCAGAACCATATCACTCATACTGATTTCATCGTCAGCGATGGTGAGGCCAGCCGGGTTCAAGCAAGGATTATTATTTTAAGGTGTAGGTGAGCTTGGAGGTTTCTGAGTTCACCCACTTTCCCTCTCGACTCTCTCACATTGCTGGCTATGATTCTCAGTGCCGCATCGTTGTAGTGTCACTGAGGCTTGGGGACGTATAGTAACCTCAGTTTACTGCCTCCTTATAGTCGGAGGTCTGCCTTCACAGCATTGGATATGTCTTCCCAATTCACCCTTGGCCTCGTACCACCGTTGAATTAACAGAGCCAGCTGTTCCCGGGATTTGAAGTTTGCACTTAGCAATCTTGAGGAGCTAATCAGTGTGAGATGAGCGGGACGAGGTAGCCGTAAAATCGAGACTGCTCTGGAAGCATCAAGGGTCATCTGAGATGAGAACCATCTCCATTGCTGTACGTCATGGATGTGTTTTTCACGAACAGTGCCATTCTCCAGCCCCGGAATGCTGTGTATGAACATAGAGATAGAAGGAATCAGTTCCAGTTACTCCCTTGCCATTTGTCTGTTAGCCCATGACCCATCATGTCTCACTCTTATGCTGGAACTCCTGCCGATAGCTAGTACTTAAGCCAGTAACAGTATTCTCACAACCTCTTCGGCAGACCCCAATGTAACGCTTGATGGAAGTGGCTTAACCTGAGGTGCCTGGACCCCCTTGTACAGTCTGTAAAATTTTGCTGAATTGCTGTTCAGACCTAATTTATTACACAAACTTAACCACTGTTCCCGATCAAACAGGGTCTTTTGTTCAAGCCAGCTATCACTGCAAACGGGTATTTTAAACAGGATGAGGGAGTTCGATCGACTGACCTCAGACTTAGGTTTGGTCTTTGGCTGCTTGTCCTCCTTTGTAGGGTCCGTCACTTTACATTTCATTAGGTTCTGACAGTTCTTCGCTGTGTTACCATCCTTGCTAGTTGATACAAGTGGTGCTTCGGCCATTCCATCTTACCCTGAAGTTCTAGGTTGAATTCTGGGAAACTCCACTACATGAAGATTGGTTTTTCCAGTCAGTTAGACTGGAGTGTCCTTCTTACTGTCTATACCAAGTTCTGATAGTGTGGTGTTAGCGGGTGGGAAGCTGCATGAGACTGTATCGAGACACAAAAGTAGCGTTCTGTTCC